TAGCTTCGAGGTGATGTAGCAATAATAAAAATAATAATGGGTACCGTTTATGAGCCGGCTGCTAACTACTGCTTAAACAGTTTGTATTAGTTCACTCCTTTATTGGCTTTGGGCAACTTTCTAAGCTAGACTGGATCTTTCTGATGCAGTCATTACCGTTTTTCTGTAAAAGCAAAAACAAACAAACAAAAAAACACAACTTTTTTTTTTCTTTTTTTGATTACAGAAAAAGGGACTGCATCAGAAAAGCCCAGTCTGGGTTAGAAACTTGCCCACAGCCAATAATAATAAACAGTGAGCCAAATCATGACTAATCCCCACAACTCCTAACCTTGTGCTATACTGTCTCAGAAAGAGGCTGGAAAAAGCACGTTCACCATCACTGGCCTAAAGTCAACCCCGATGATGACGAAGAAAAACCCCAACTGTGGTGTTATTTTTGACCTTGAAACATCCGTGTTCTGTATTTCCAGTTACCTTAGGAAACAAGGAATTGGATGTGAGGGTCGAAAATGGGGAGCCCTTGAGCCCTAGAGAACATGGAAAAGACTTGGTCAGGATGGCCTGAGCCTTCAATGCTAAGTTTAAGAGTTTGTTCTTGATCTGCTAGACATTGTAGAATCAGTTTCTGTGCCAGGAAGGGCCAAACAAAGCATATCTGAGTGTGGCTCATTCTGCAGTAAGCGCAGCTGTAGAGGAAGGAGGAGAGGACAAATGAGGGAGTTCATGCATTTTTAAATAAAGGAAATTAGCCAGGACTGGAGTGGAAATTAGCCAGGATACTACAGCAGATAGGGCATTTGCCCTGTATGCAGCCCACCAGGTTTTGATCCCCTGCACCCCATATGGACCCCTGAGCCAGGCAAGAGTGATCCCTAAGCACTGCCTCCACGCTTAAGGTGTGACTCCAAAACGAAAAAAATTAAAAAATAAGAAGAAGGAAACAAACCAATGGAGATTGTACTGACAGGACCCTGTGAATCTAACCGGAGACCAAAAGGTTAGGCAGAGTGAGGACAGAAAATGTGGGATTTGGCCACTGAGAAAGGCATCGATGGAGAGAGCAGGATCGGGCAGTGGAAACCGGGTTTCTATTTAGAAGTGGGTGCAAAAGGGACCAGAACAATAGCACCTGCATGCAGTTGACCCAGTTTGTCAGTCTCCCGCACCCTAGATAGTCCCACAAGCCTGCCAGCAGTGATCCCTGACCACAGAGCCAGGAGTAAGCCCTGAGCACAACTGGGTGTGGCCCAAAAACTAAACAAAAGAAGAAATGGGTGCAGAAAGAAAGGTGGGGAGAACATGGGAGCAGGCTACTTAGGTAACACACTTGGGGGTGAGAAAGGGGCAGCTCCCGAGTACCCAAGGGAATGCCAGCCCCAGAGGTCCGCAGGGATGGTTTGAGGGGAGGCCAGAGAGTCAGAGGGAAAAAAAAGGTCAAGGCAAGGGCCCGCTGATAGAGAAGGCAGAGAAAGTGCATCCAGCGTTTTCAGTCTAAGAAAGCTTATCCAAAAGGAAAAGGAAAAACCAGGCTTGAGAGACAGAGATTGAGGAACTGGTTAGGGATGGGTGATACCTGCACTAGAACGAAGAAATAAAATAAATAAGGGTACTATTCATGCAGGTGAAGAGCCCATTTGGAGTGTTAATTAAAAAATAGTAAAACCCTGAATGTTGTTACCAAGTGCTTTGCATCCTGTTAACACTTGGGTAGGGGTCCGTCCAGCAGAGCAGAGGCGGTCAATCCAAGCTCTGTGCTCTGGGTGCCTGTGATCAAATCAGGACCAGCCACATGCAGGGCAAGCAACCTAACCCTGTCCTGTATCTCTGGCCCCAACACTTTAATGTTTAGGGAGGAAACGGTAGAAGAGAAAGAGATCAGATTCTGAAGTTAAGATTAATCTTTATGATTATTTTTATCTTTAAATGGCACTGTAGCACTGTCCTCCCGTTGTTCATCGATTTGCTTGAGCGGGCCCAGTAACGTCTCATATCTTTAAATAATAAAGATTTGTTATTCTTTTTATATGGGCTGAGCCATACCCAGGCTGCTAGCTCTATTTGGGTTCCCTCCGTGAGAGGTATATTATAGGCCGAATTGTGTGTCCCCCCCCCCAACTCATATACTGACTTCCCCACCCCAGGTACTTGAAAATGTGACCGATCACGATCTCGTTATTCGTCGATTGCCTCGAGCAGGCCCCAGTAACGTCTCCTTCCTCCTAGCCCTGAGATTTTTTAAAAAGTGCCATATTCAAGGCTCTTTCAGAGTTAGGAGAATGAGACCCTTCATTGTTACTGGTATTTGGCATATTGGGGACGCCACGGGGAGTTTGCCAGACTCTGCCGTGTGGGCAGGTTACATTCGGTAGCCTGCCAGTTTGTCCAAAGTAGAAATGAGATAATAAGATGTCCCAAATAAGATTTGGGAATGCAGCCCAAAGCGGGTGGTAAACTCCATCTAAGGCTAAATACCGGCACAAGAAAATGTGACCATATTTAGGAATAAAATCGTGGCAGATATAAGTTGATATAAGTGAACCCAAGTGCTTCCTGGCTGGTTCTATGTAAGATAGGGCGACAGGGGCCAGAGAGAGAGGACAGCCGGTAGGGTGCTTGCCTTGCATGAGGTCAACCCAAATTTGATCCCTGGGACTGCACATGATCCCCAAAGCACCACCAGGTGTGATCCCTGAGCCCTGCTGGGTGCAGCCTAGGTAAGGTAAAGGCCTTCCCGTTGATCGTCGATTTGCTCGAGCGGGCCCAGTAACGTCTCCATTGGAGACTTTGTTGTTACTGTGTCTGGCATATCGAGTACGTCACAGTGAGCTTGCCAGGAACTGCCGTGCGGGCGAGATACTTTCGGTAGCTTGCAGCCTAAGTCCCAACAATAAGTAAGGAACTTGCACACATACACATTCAGGGGAAATACCATGTGCCTATCAAGGTAGAATTGGGGGGTTGCTCTTACAAGCCGAGAATATCAAGGTCTTGCAGGAAAAAACCCAAAAGAGGAGAAAAGAGGGGCCAAAATGATAGGGGTATCTGCCTTGCCTGCCACTGGCCCAGGTTCCATCCCCAACATCACATGTGGTCCTCCGAGTCCTGCTAGGAGCAATCTCAGAGAGCCAGGAAGAAGCTTGAACAAAATGTGGCCTGCTCATGATTAAACTTTTATCAAGACACCCAGTGGAGCACACTATCTGATTCTGCCAAGACCCCCATCCCCCGCCCCCACCCCCACCTGATACAGTGGGTACATTTGGAGCCAGCAATAAATAAATAAATAAATAAATAAATAAATAAATTCATTGTGTTTGCAAATTTAGATGGGTCAGGGAAATCTGTAACCAGAATGGCCTAAGCCCAGTTATCTCTGCTGTGAATGGCTTAGAGGACAAGGGAGTTTGGCTTGAGGAGAACTGGCATAGTTCCGAAAGATTTTATTTGTTTAAAAAACATTGATTGAAGTCTTGCTGCCATGTACCAAGCACTGTTGAAGGTGTTGAGACGGGGCTGGGGGACGACAGATCAGTCACGGCCCTTGCCCTCCAGGAGCTCACAATCTAGGAGTGATATAGGGAGGACCAGAGGGGAAAAGGTAGAGTGAACTTAGAATGAGAATTCCCGGGCTGGAGCAATAGCACAGCGGTAGGGCTTTTGCCTTGCACGCAGCTAACATGGCCAACACAGGTTCAATTCTCAGCATCCCATATGGTCCCCTGAGCACCGCCAGGAGTAATTCCTGAGTGCATGAGCCAGGAGTAACCCCTGAGCATCGCCGGGTGTGACCCCCCCCCCAAAAAAAGAATGAGAATTCCCCAATGTGGAATGGATATGCACCCTGGCTATGCAGAAGATGATCCTTTCAAACTCCTTACTCTTCCCCAACCCCTTTGTCTTACTAACCTGGATGCCTTAAACTCATTGCAAAGTGTTCACTCATTTCTCTAGCTACAAAAATAGGAAGAAGGCTTTTTACCTCTCCCTGGGCATCCCTGTCCTTCCTTTCACGTCCTTAAAGTTTCTACTAAATAAGCCATCTCTTCTTCGGCCCTCCACTTTCAGTGTTGACTGCCTGGAGACAGGAACCCAAGTCAACCATCCAGTGTGTTTTAACAGTAGCAAGAGAGGGAGTTGAAGTTTTTTTGCCCAAGACATTACAGGTGCTGTACAGAAATCTGGGCTGAAGATAAGAAGTTCAGCATACAGTCAGCATATAGAAGGGCCATGAGAAGGATTGGGACTGAAGGCAGCTTTAAGAAGGGACTCTTGAGGGACTATAATAAGTATGGGGTGAAAGAGGTGCCTGAATGCAAGATTGGGAAGGAAGGATGGAAGCAGTTGAGATACATTAAGCCCCACATAATGACCTAGGCTCTTTGCTTTACTTAGATCATACCACGTAATCCTTTTCACAATTTTATGGCTTTCTTCTGTGATACCTGTTTTATAGATGTGAAAATGGAGCACACAGACGGTAGGTTACTTGCCTAAGGCCACTTAGTCAGCAAATGGGAAAAACAAGAACTGAACAGCTCTGATGCTTTTAACTCTCGTACTCAGAGAGGCAGGAAAAGAGACCCAAGAGATCATAAGATTGTGGAATCCAGGGTGGAATTTGAAGGAGAAAACAGCTGTCCTGAGACAGATGTCACAGAGAAATATCAAGTGATAGTTAACAAGATCCCACTGAATCTGGTAATTCGAAGGTCTGGGGTGAGCTTGCCTGAGTAGTGCCATGGGCAAAGCAGAGGAGGACACAGTGAAGTTGTCTGCAGAGCGGATGGGAAGTGGGGCTTTCTTTCCAAAGTGGCTGGCTTTCAGCTGGACAAAGGTCAAAGGGGAGCTGGTCAAATGAGTCTTGCCTAAAGGAGGGAGGGTCCTGATGGATCGAATGCTTGCAGGCAGCATAGAAAAATTCGTGTTCTAGAGCCCAGCTGTGAGGTCTGTGGGTGCTGATGGAGGGGCGGTAGCAGAGGAGGAAGCTAAGGACGAGCTTAGATCTGTCCAGGGTATGGGGAATGGGGGACCTGCCAGCAGCTGAGTGGTAAGTAGGAGTGGTTGGCGATGTGCGTGGTGCAGTAAGACCCTGACTCGGTCGTGAGTGAGCACACAGTCAGGGGCATGGGCCCCAGGCAAGAAGGCTGCAATCCTCGGTAATCCATCTGGGCCTGAGAAGAAGAACACAGAGGCAAGGGGGTCTTCTCTGACGACTTAGGTAGAATTTCAAGGAGGCTGGGTTCCACTTCCTCATAGGCATCTGAGACGGTAGCCTTGGGCTGGGAGACATGGGGAGAGGGGTCTGGGTTAGAGCAGATCAGGCAGAAGGACTGGATTATGTGGAAGGAGCCTCTGACTAGTGGCAGGAGTCAGAGATGGTGTGCCGTTCAAGGGTTTTGGAAAAGTTGTGTTGAGGGGTCGAGGATCCAGCTCCAGGCTGGGCTGGTGATGCATAGTGGGGCTGAGAATTCTACTCACCACGCTCAGGGCTGCAGTATCCCTAAGGTACTGGCCCAGGACCCGGTGCAGATCTGGAAGTGAGGGCCACAGGGCATGCCTCAGGCTCCTTGGGAGAGAGAAGGGGCCCAGTCAAGGGGGTGAGCTGAGAAGGAGGAAGAGAGCATTAAGCTAGAGCAGGCAAGCAGCAATAAGGTGGAAGGGTGAGTCTTGGACAGGTAAGAGTGTAGTCAGGGCAGGAAGGTAAGTACGATGTGCATAGGTGGAAAGGTAACCTTAGGTTAGAGAGGGAAGTCAGCCATGGTGAGATTCGTCTTGGGGTGGTACAGATTATCCTCAACTATTTCTGCCTCAGGGCCTTTGCATTTTCTGCTTTCTGCCTGCAACACCCAGTTTATTCCCTCACTTCATTTAGTCCTCTGCGCAGATATCATCCCGATGAGAACCCTTCCCTGCTCTTCCTGTCTGCAACAGTGACCAACTCCCTTGCCCCCCTGTCCCAGGCTCTGCTTCATTTTTCCCTCTCTCAGTTGACGTATTACATTATCATCATATGCATTTGGGTTTTTGTTTGTTTGTTTTGGGGCCACACTCCGCAGTGCTCCGGATGAACTCCTGGCTCTGCACTCAGGAATCCCTCTTGGCAGGCTCAGGGTACCAAGTGAGATGCTGGGGTTCAAACCTGAGAGCAGATTGCAAACAAGGGAAGTTCTCTACCCACCGTGCTATCTGTATGAGGCCCTCACATTGATCTGTTTTGGTCTGTCTCACAATTCCTTGAGAGCAAAGAGTTTATTTGCTCACTCCTGTACCTATAGGATTTAGAAAAGTGCCTGGCTTATAGTAGAGTTTATGAAATGCGTAGGGGGCTGCGCAGATATCTCAACAGACTGACTGCCTCCTTTGTAAGCAGAAGACCCACCTTCGATCCCCGGCACTACATAGTCCCCTCAGTACCATGGCAGCAACCTTTAAAAACACAGCCAGGAATGCCCCCTCCTATCCTCCTATTCCCAAGCACTTCTGGTATGGCCCCCCCCCACCAAAAAAAAAGAGAAGAGTTCAGGGTTGGGGATGGAGGGAGAGAGAAGGAGGAAAGAAACAGAAGAATGAAAGAAAGAAAGAAAGAAAGAAAGGAAGGAAGGAAGACAGACAGGAAGGAAAGAAGAAAAGAAAGAGAGAGAGGAAGGAAGGAAGGAAAGAAGGAAGGAAGGAAGGAAGGATGGAAAGAAGGAAGGGAGGGAGGGAGGGAGAGAGGGAGGGAGGGAGGGAGGAAGGAAGGAAGGAAGGAAGAAAGAAAGAAAGAAAGAAAGAAAGAGAGAGAAAAGGACAGAAGGAAGGAAGACAGAAGGAAAGAAGAAAAGAAAGAAAGAGAGAGGAAGAAGGAAGGAAGGAAGGAAGGAAGGAAGGAAGGAAGGAAGGAAGGAAGACAGGTAGAAAGAAAGACAGGAAGAAAGACGGGAAGAAAGGCAGGAAGGAAAGAAAGAAAGAAAGAAAGGAGAGAGAGGAAGGAAGAAAGGAAGGAAGGAAAACAGGAAGGAAAGAAGAAAGGAAGGAAGACAGGAAGGAAAGAAAAGAGGAAGGAAGGAAGACAGGAAGACAGGAAGGAAAGAAAAGAAAGAAAATGTTCAGAAATTGAATGAACTTTTTAAAAAAGTGTTTTTGGGGGGCCATCCCCACCAGTGTTCAAGGGCTACTCCTGGCGATGACAGTGACCATCTCCCTTGCTATAGACCCAGCACCTTTCCCCGTGCCGTCTCTCCCTGCTATTAAGTTACTGTGGAGGACGGTCTGTCTAGGAATAGTATGGCTTAAGGTATGGTGGGAAAAAAACTCCGACTTTCCACGCTCACATTTCCATAGGAAGGAGCTCTTGCCAAACAAAGATCTTTTGGGTCCCTTCAAGGAGCTCAGTGACATCTCTCCGGGGGAGGAGACTGAGAGAACGAGAGACTGACAAGGAGAGAAAGGAATTGGGTCTGGCTGGTTCAGCGGCTCCGCCTCTCTCCTCTCCCCTAACATTTTTGTTGGCTCCCAGTCTGGAGGCTCTGTCCCAGTCTGTTTGCACAAATCAGACGCTCAACGTTTGCTCTCACGTTCCAGGAGAGATGGGCCCTTAGCCGAGGGCCGCCTGACCTGGCCTAGGAGCACCGAGAGGCGGCCTTCTGAGTGGGGTCTTCAAGAGCCAAAGACTTTATCCCCCCAAGACTGAGGTGTTCTGGACCCCAGCCTGCATGCTGGTAGCTGCCAGTGCCCTTTCTCCTCAGTCCTCGCTTCTCGCACGGCTGAGTTATTCACTCACAACAGTGAGTTAAGGGCCTGCTATTTGGCAGGTGCTCTGCTGAGGATTTAAGGATGACCAAGTAAGGAAGAATAGACATAAAGGAAGGCAGGAAACTGCTACCGTTACTCTGAAGAGGTCTGCACAGGGCACAGACAGAACAGCCACTGGGCAGCTCTGAAAGGTCTCTCAGAGTTGGTGAAGAAAGTTATTTAAAGATAAATGGGGGTTAGTCATCCCGGGAGGATATTCCTGGCAGAGGGGACTTTGTGTGCCAAAGCCCTGAGAAGTGAAACTGCCTGTCCTGTGTGTGGACAAGATGGCCAAGAGTTGGCAGGGGGTGGGTGGGGTGGAGATGCTGGTAGGGGCCAGGATTCGCTCGCGTCATCCCAGACTGAGCTCTATCTGGGGGAGCCAATGAATGAGGAAAGCCAGGGAAGGGACTGAAAATCCGTTCCAGCGTGCAGTTCAGAAAACCTGCTTCCAAGGGCTGTGGATGCTAAAATGGAATAAGAAGAGGTGGTGTGTGTGTGTGTGTGTGTGTGTGTGTGTGTGTGTGTGTGTATTAGAGAAAGGGACACATTAGTATGAGTATTGCTTAGGAGGTGGCTGACCAGGCCAGATCCGGTAAAGGTTTCTAAAGGTTCTGGCTCTGGTGAGGAGTAGCCTAGTCACAGAGACGATGAGACACAAGATGGCACAGACACTCCGCAAGGTGTCCAGTTTAAAAGGCATACAAGAGGGGGCTGGAGCGATAGCACAGCGGGTAGGGCGTTTGCCTTGCATGCAGCCAAGATGGCCCACACAGGTTCGATTCCCAGCACCCCATATGGTCCCCCGAGCACCGCCAGGAGCAATTCCTGAGTGCATGAGCCAGGAGTAACCCCTGAGCATCGCCGGGTGTGACGCCAAAAAAAAAAAAAAAGCAAAAAAATAAAAATAAAAAAATAAAAGGCATACAAGAGTGTAAGGAGGGGGGTTAGGGCTCTCTGGGGAGAGAGGGGGGAAGCTGCTTGAAGCCATAGCCGGGTGTGTGTGGGGGGACGTTCCGTAATCAGGAGAGGGGTATCACCACCACCCTCGCGTGCTCGTTTAGTGGACCTCGGCTCGTCTTCCACCTGGCCGGGGCGGTACCTGTAGTGCGCAGGAAACTGCCACCTCAGGAGCAGCAGGCCCAGGAAGGCGCTGAGGCCCAGCACCAGGAGCAGAGCCGTCACCAAAGAAATCCAGGCTGCGGGACAGAAACTGTCAGACCTAGGACCGACCGCCCAGGGCCAGAGCCCGGCTCCCAGGCTGTCAGGCTCCGCCCAGCACCTCCCAGGCCCCGCCCACCTAGAAGACCACACCCACCAGGCCCCGCCCACCTAAAAGACCTCACCCACCAGGCCCCGCCCCCGGCCCGCCCCTCCCGGCAGGCCACGCCCCTCGGCGCTCGCCCCGCCCCGCGCCGCGCCGGCGCCCCTGCACCCGCGCAGCCGCAGAGGGTCGGGGTGAGCCCTCACCCGTCTCGGAGGCCGTCTCCACCCGCACTGGGTCGGACCAGGAGCTCCAGGGGCCTCGGTAGGTGGAGCCTTGCAGTCTGGCGCGCAGCTGTAGCCGGTAGCGCGAGCGGGGACGCAGCTCCAGGGTCTCGCCCAGGGCCCCGAGAGGCGGCTCCAGCACCTGCGCAGAGGATGCAAGCCGGTGGCCTCCGGGTGCCCCCGGGTCGGAGTCAGCGCCTCCGATGGGCCGACCCCCGCCCTCTCCCCAAAGAGCGTCGCCGACTGCTGACACACGCGCATCCCAGCGGAAACTGGCGAGATGGAACCGCCTCGTCCTGCCCGAGGCACACCCTGCCCTGGACACACAGTGACACACAGTGACACACAGACCTCATCTGCCCAGAGAGCTGCTCATCCTCACCCAAGGACGAACAGTCCCCCACCCCGAGAGACCTCCTGGTGATGCGGGGACGCGGAGAAGGGCCCGAAGCGCGCGCTCACCGGAATCCCAGACCCTTGCAGGGCCACACAGACCCACCCCACGAGGGACACTTGTAGCCAAGGGTGCAAGCATGGAGCTGGGGCTGCGAAGACAAATCCCAAGCAGCGGGAAAGAGTGGCCTATGGAACAGCGGGAAGACTTCATTCATCCGTCGACAAACGTTTATGAGTTGGGTGTGAGATGCCGAGCATTGGGATAGGGACGGAGGATGCAATAAACGTGGTCTCTCGTGTATCTAATGAGGCAGACATCCAAATGAGTGAATAATTGCAAGTAATTAGTGTTATAATAGTGATTGACAGTAGGCTTGCACAGGGAAGTATCGAGTTGCTGTGTTGGGGGTAACAGGGTAATTTGGTACCAAGAGCCTGACCTCCCATTGTTCATCCATTTGCTCAAGCGGGCCCAGTAACATCTCCATCGTGAGACTTGTTGTTACTGTGTTTGGCATATCGAATATATGCGGGCAGCTTGCCAGGCTTTGCCATGTGGGCGAGATACTCCTGGTAGCTTGCCCGGCTCTCCGAGAGGGGCGGGGGAATCGAACCCGGGTCGGCCGAGTTGGCCGCGCTGTGCTATTGCGCCAGCCCAATAAGAGCCTAAGGGACTAAATGGGATGGTAAGAGGTCACAGGAAGGGAGAAGTGGGAGGGTTTGGAGGATTGTTAGGACAATCAATTCAGCTTCCGGTTCATGAATATGGGGAAGAGAAAGAAAAGAAGCAACAGTAATGCTAGGTGTGGGTCACTGAGCAAGGGGTGGTGCCAATGCCAAAGACAGGAAATAGAGGAAAAGTAAGTTCAGAGAAGAGTTACGGCACGGTTCATTCTGTAAAGTTCAGTAACAGCCAAAACTCGTCTCTGGTAATGTCAGAGTAGTGTTTACCTTGGAGAGGAAGGTGTAGTGGGTGTGAGGAGCCTCCAGGTGCTAGATATAGTCTATCTTGTGTGGATAATTATTATATGGCGTATACAAGGTACAAATCAACCATATATTCAAGATTTGTGTACTTTCTGTAATTCATAAGTCAGTTTTTAAGAAATGAAATACATTTAGGGAGGAAGAGAAATTCAGTTGATATATTGGGTCTGAAATGCCTGGAAGCGGGCAGGTGTTTATATATTCTTTTTTTTTTTTTTCACTTTACCTCTTTGGGATAGATAGATTTAATCTCATTTCACCAACAAGAAAATTGAGACTCCAGACATTTAGATAATTTCTCTGTGGTTTATAAGTTCCTTTCCCTGTGGTGTTGAAATGACAAATTTGGGATGATTAATGGTTAGCTGTTAGAACTCTGGAGATGAAGTGCTCACCTAGGGAGATTATACATGTTTATTTATCCAGAGGAGGAAAGGTTCTAGGATACGGCTCTATCAAGACAATATATTAAAAGATAAAAAAAAAGAAACAGAGTAGGGAACAACAAATCAAAGTCATCAGAACCGAAGATTTTGTGTAGAACTGAGCTTGCATACTGGGGGTGGGGGAGGGGGTCCTTGGAACACAGGTGGAGGGAAGGGGGACTCTGGTGATGGGTGTGGTGTTGGAGAGATGTATGCGTGAACAGTATCAGTAACAAAATTATAAATTCAAGTACTTTAATAAAAATGGTTTAAAGAAGAAATAAAATATTATCTAATAAAATAAGACAAGGAATGGTTAAAAGAAAAAAAGGAGGATTCAGGAAAAGAGTAAAGTTACTTTTTTTTTTTACAGGAAAAGAGAGTAAGAAGGTTGAGTGAGTCACCTGCCATAGAGGCAGGCTGGAGGGTAAGGGGTGGGGGGTGATGGGAGGGAACCTGGGGACAATGGTGCTGGGAAATGGACACTGGTGGAGGGATGGGTGTTGGAACACAGTATGACCGAAACCGAATCATGAGCAGCTTAGTTAGTGTCTATCTCGTAGTGATTCAATAAAAGGAGTAAAACAATTTTTTTTAAAGAAGGTTTGGTGAGAGAGATAGGAGACTGACATTTCAAAGGCAAAAGGAGGAGAGAATATTTGTAGTCGGAATAGTTAACTGTGTCAGACGCCAAAGAGTGATGCAAAGAGATGCCAGCTGAATCAGATAAACCGAGAGAGACAAGCCCAGACTTGACACAGGGGCACCTTCACTCCCGATAACAGACATGGTGAAACTCAAATAGCCAGTGTAGTCAGGTCTGTGGGCATTTGATCCTGTACCTTCCAGTCCTGGTGGCCTTCTCCTGTGTATCGAAGCTGATAGCACGTCTCTTGGGCTGCCCAGGAGGTGGGGTGCTGCCACTCCAACTTCAGCCGCCCGCTGGATACCTCCCTCCAGTGCAAACTGGGAGTGGGGATGAGCACTACAGGAACATTAGCAGGAACTGGCATAAGCTCTTCCTTCTGTGCGTGGGACAGCGTGCCACTAGGACCACAGGTCAGAGTGGCAGAGTTGGAGATCCTGGGGGTGGGGTCAGAGAAGGGAGGGGTAGGCACTCCGTGGGTGGATAAGGGAAGAATGTTCTTACCAGCTTGGTGGATCCAAAAAGGGGAGCCCAAGTAGCTATGTACAGCACCCTGCAGTGTGGTCACCTCCACAAGGACGTGTATAATACTGTCGTTTTGTGACTTGAAGTGGCAGCGAGAGAGTGGAGAGGGTTGTGATCCAGGATTTGTTTCCTCTTCCTCTTCACACTTCTCCCAAATGGGGTCCCTAAAAACCAGCCCCATTGAGTGATTCAAACAGAACTGCCTCTACTTAAACTCCCTCAGTGTCTCTGGATTACTAAGAATAAAGTCCGAACTCCATACCATGACCTGCAGGATTCGGTATGATTTAACTCTTCTCTACAACACCGTTCCCGTTTCCTAGAAACCTCACACCAGTTTACCAGCCCCAGAAACTGATCCTGATCCCCATCCTCTTGCCCCAAACCCGCACCACTTCTGCAGAGCAATGGTCCGTCCGTATGGGTTATAACCTCTCTCCTCCCTTGGATGAACCTCTAGGGCTTTCTCTTGATCTTAATGTCATGTTTTTCTTTACTGAAGTTTGCTTTGGTAGTCACCTTCCCCTTAAAGATATAACACCTGAAACCACCACTGTAGGATAACATTGGTTTGTCCTTTTTCCCCTTACCACAGGGAGATTAGGTTTATCGGGTTACACCCATCACAGTGCTCCCGAGTCACTCCCATTCCTCTGTTTATCTGTAAACTCTTTTCTGTGCTCTCCTCCCGGACAGTTAATCCCCTTTTCTCCCTAATCAGATTCTGTTAGCTTGTAAGATCAGATCCTTCTAAGGACACTGTACTTGTATTGTAAATTATATCTTTTGCATAGTTTACCTTAAAGCAATGTCCTTTCTGTATGGACACAGGAAGACAGTTAATATTATGCTTTGTAACTTGGGAGTTGATTGACTCTAAAGAATATTTACTCCTGGGCATCTGCTTTCTTGACTCAGTTGCCCTTTAGTTCCTAGCACCCCAAAAGCAGGGTCCCGACGAGGGACTGAATGGACCCAGGTCAACCTGTGAGCTACCCTGGCATCAAAATGGGCCAGGCCAAAGTGCCACAATACTCAACTATATATTGAGGGCATGATCATGGACAAATGCTGTCATGATCCAAAAGTAAGTAACGACGAGACTAGGACCCTAATGGGGCTAGGAAGACTAACCTGGCCTGAGGACTGCAGAATATATAGTGAGATGTCCTCAGGAAGCGATAGTAAGAGATATGAACAAATTGTAAGTTTATATCTCTTACTGTGCTCATACAGAATGACATTGCTAGAAATACTGAAGTAGACTTACTACAACTATTTAAGTAGATTACTATCTGAGGAGAGAACACACCCTTGTTGGGATCCCACCCTTGAGCAGATCTCCTAGTCATCTGGAGTAATCTCTTTAGATGAGATTTTATCCTTGAGTTAATCTCCTCGAGGAGTGGTCTTACCTCTCTTTGTTGATTTGTTGATATTCAACCCACCTTTGTGTCACCACCCTACATGATTTTTATATAAACTAAGACTGTAAACTGTGTGTGTGGGGGGGGGAGATGGGGGGCGCTTGGGCTCGAGAGAGCCGAAACTGAGCCTCGGGCTCTAGAGGGCAGAGTCAGAGGTGAGAGTGAAGACCAGCCTGGCCTTCGTTCCTTCCTTAGCCTGCCGTCACCATCGACCTCCCAGGGGTGAGGGAAGTGGCGTGAGACTAACGAACACGGGCGGCGGGAGAGACAGAGCGCCACCGGCCTTCCGAAAACACACAGCACGATACAGGAAAATGGCATGAGATATAAAGTTAGGTCTAGATTGAATGGGCAAATGATTTATTTCTCTCCCTGTTTTCTCATTTCTAAGATGGGCTTTGCAGAACTGTTTAGAATATTAAAGAATCTTCATTCTCTGGAGGATTTTTCATCTTTTATCCTGTATCTGACTTCTGAGTTACTGCTCCATTTTATGTACCTATTAAATGATGACATTAGTCTCCACAATTTTTTTTTTCTTTTTGGTCACACCCGGAGCTACACAGGGGTCACTCCTGGCTCTGCACTCAGGAAATACTCCTGGCAGTGCTCAGGGGACCATATGGGATGCTGGGAATCGAACCCAGGTCGGCTGTGTGCAAGGCAAATGCCCTACCCACTGTGCTATTGCTCTAGTCCCCTCCTCAATTGTTTTTTTTCTGGCATTTTTCCTACTTCCTTCTGTCTGTTCTCCACCTGGCTAACAGAATCTGCTTCTAAAGCCTTGACCTGATAATGTTCAGAATGTATCATAAATCCTTACATCATTTTGATATGTGTGTGTGTGTGTGTGTGAGTGTGTGTGAATGTAGGGGGGGCAGGGGGTGGGTGGGTATTGGTGTTGGGACCACAGCTGCTGGTGCTCAGAATTTACTCCTGGGTTTGTGCTCAGGGATCACTCCTGCTGTGATGCTCAGAGGACAGGAAATGAGCAAGGCAAATGCTGGACCCTCTGTACTCTCTCTGATATTTTGGTCATTACCATTGTCGCGATAGCACAGCGGTAGGGCGTTCGCCTTACAAGCGACCGGCATGGCCGACCCGAGTTCGATTCCTCTGCCCCTCTCGGAGAGCCCGGCAAGCTACCGAGAGTATTCGATATGCCAAACACAGTAACAACAAAGTCTCCAATGGAGACGTTACTGGGCCCGCTCGAGCAAATCGACGATCAACGGGAGGGCCTTTACCTTTACCATTGTCACATTAAACCATTATTATCTTTTGCTGGATTAAGCTCGGTTTCTAACCTAGTGATCCTTCTTACATTCTTACTTATCATTTCACAGAGAAACAGGTCTTTCAAAAACATAAATCACATGTTACTCTTAAACTCCCCCAATGTCTCTGTTTTACTAAGAAAAAATCCGAACTCCATACTGTGACCTGCAGGATTCTATATGATTGAGCTCTTCTCTACCATGCCGTTCACATTTCCTAGAAAGCTCACACCAGTTGACCTTCATTCATATACATAGATCTTCTCTCTGGGCTACAGGTACATCAAATGCACCATCCTTGCACATCGCCTTTGCCCTGGATTGCTCTCTGTGTGTCTTTCTTTCTTGTCACTTTGGCCCACGGTCACCTGTCAGCTTATATCGCATCTCCTCAGTGAGACTTGCCCTGACTGTAAACATTTGCACCCTTCCCTCCATTGTGACCCTTCGTCTCTATCATAAACCTTTTTCCTCAATTTCCTGTTTGTCTCTTTCCTTCCTTCCTTCCTTCCTTCCTTCCTTCCTTCCTTCCTTCCTTCCTCCCTCCCTCCCTCCCTCCCTCCCTCCCTTCCTTCCTCCCTCCCTCCCTCCCTCCCTCCCTCCCTCCCTCCTTCCCTTCCTTCCTTCCTTCCCTCCCTCCCTCCTTCCCTTCCTCCCTCCTTCCCTCCCTCCCTCCTTCCTTCCTTCCTTCCTTCCTTCCTTCCTTCCTTCCTCCCTCCCTCCCTCCCTCCCTCCCTCCTTCCTTCCTCCCTCCCTCCTTCCCTCCCTCCCTCCCTCTCTCCCTCCTTCCCTCCCTCCCTTCCTTCCTTCCTTCCTTCCTTCCTTCCTTCCTTCCTTCCTTTCTTCCTTCATTCCCTTCTCTCTCTCTCTCTCTCTTTGTTTTTTGGGCTACACCTGGCGATACTCAGGGCTTACTCTTGTAAGTAATTCCTGTGCTCAGGAATTACTTCTGGCAGTGCTCAGGGGACCATATGGAATTTCAGGTATGAGCAATGTCAGATTGAACCGGGGTAGGCATGGAAGGCAAATGCCCTATCAACTGTAATAACTTTTTGGTCCCCGTCTCCTTCCTTTCTACTCTCTAAAATGCTGGAACTTTTCTGTTTTGTTGGTCACTGACCCCGATGCCTGACAACTAGTCACTCAGGAGTTGTTTTTTTATTTGTGTTGTTTGTGGGCTCGCACCTTCCGGTGCTGAAGGTCCACTCCCAGCTCAGGATCACACAGGCTGGGCATTGAATCTGGGCCACCCACATACAAAGCATCCACTCAGCTCGTTGAGCTATCGCTTTAGCCCAATAATTACTTACTGTAGAAATGATTTGTATTTCCTTATTTATTACAACCCCTCTAGGTGGCTTACTATTACTAAAACCATCATTTAAAAATCTATTTAAGGGCTCAAGTAATAGTATAGTGTGTAGGGTTTGATCCCTCCCAACTCAGTTGGTCCTCTAAGCCCTGCCAGGAGTGATCCCTGAGCACAAAACCAGGAGTAAGTCCTAAGCACTGCCAGGCATGGTCCCCTCCCCCCTCCAAAAAAAAGTATATTTAGACTCATCCATTCAACAAATTATTCTTACCATGTGCCAGGCACAGTGCTAGGCCTTACAGAAGGACGTTACAGAAGAATATTCTTGCAGAAGAATAATCTTCAAGGAGGTCTCATTTTAGTGAGAGAGACAGACAGTATTTTTGTATGATGTAGGTAGATTGATTGAGAAGATCAGGAGGATCATATTCCTGAACTAGACAGTCTTAGGCTGAGTTTTTGACTATCAAGAGGACAGGCAAAGGGACAAGAAGGCCTTCAGACTCAGGTATGTGCAGAAGTAATGTGGTGTTTCGTGAGAAACTTGAAATAGTGCAGAAGGATTTTAGTATAAGGAGCCTGATGGTGACCAGGAAATGGAGAAGACAGAGCATGTCAGAGGTGGCCTTGTCGTCTTTCTAGGGAGATGCACTGAACCTGGTAGCTAGGATGTGGCATTTGACACAAGTTGTTTGTCCTTAGCTTTGTTCTTGAAGAACTTCATCATAGCTACTGTCTGTAGAAAGAATTTGCAAGGGTGAGCTTGCAAGGAAAATGCAAGGAAACCCATTAGGACACTGTTAGTATTAGTGTCTGTTAGTGTCAGCAAAGCATCTGAAAATAGGATTGTGGCAATGGTGGTAAAAGGGTTTAAGAGATACTAAAGAGGGAGATGTGACAAGTCTGATTTGACCTGGAGAGAAATAGAATAGAATAGAATAGAAAAGTGTAGGGTGGTTTCCGAGTTTCAGGCCCAAGAAACTGAGTTCCTAGATAGACGGAGGCATTCAGAGGAGAAGCGGATTGTGGTAGAACTTCTGGTCCATAAGGGTATCTCTATTCTGTGAAAATCTGTGCAATTGTTTAGTAGAATGAGTTACTTTTTTTTAGTAATTATCTCCAAGATTGTGGGGGTGAAGAGAGGGTTGGGTCGCACCAAGCTATGCTCAAGGCTGCTCTTGGCATCAGGTATTACTTCTGGCAGTGCTCAAGGAACCATATGTGGTGTCAGTGATTGAAACTGGGTTGGCTACATGCCAGGGGGAAATGTCTACCCTGGTTCTATCTCTCTGGCCCCTTAAAGATATACATATATGTAATATATATAAATTTTTTAAGCTCCCAAACACTAATTTTATTTAATTTTTGCTTTTTTGGGGGTCCCACCTGGCTCTACACTCAGGAATTACTCCTGGCGGTGCTCAGGGGACCATATGGGATGCTGGGAATCGAACCTGGGTCGGCCGCATGCAAAGCAAATGCCCTACCTGCTGTGCTATTGCTCTAGCTTAAATCTATCTATCTATCTAAAGGCTTTGACTTTATTTATTTATTTATTTATTTATTTTTGCTTTTTGGGTCACACCCGGTGTTGCACAGGGGTTACTCCTGGCTCACGCACTCAGGAATTACTCCTCACAGTGCTCGGGGACCATACGGGATGCTAGGAATCGAACCCAGGTTGGCCGCATGCAAGGCAAACGCCCTACCCGCTGTGCTATTGCTCCAGCCCCTTAAAGATATATTTTAAGTAAAAAAAATTAAGTCATAAACCACATATATAATGCAAGTTAATTTGTATTAAAACCAAAAATGTATAGACATATGCAAGTGTTTAGAACAACTGGTAGAATCATTACGTTTTTTCCTTTGTTCGCCTTTGGGGCACATTCAGCTTTGTAGTGCTCAGGGAATATTTCTGGTTCTGTGCTCAGGGGTTGCTGCTGGCTGTGATCTGGAGACCACGCAGGTTTGGGAGTTGAGCCCAGGATTCCTGTATGCAAAGCTTATGTTCAGCCTGCCTGCCTGCCTGCCTGCCTTCCTTCCTTCCTTCCTTCCTTCCTTCCTTCCTTCCTTCCTTCCTTCCTCCCTCCCTTCCTCCCTTCCTCCCTTCCTCCCTCCCTCCCTCCCTCCCTCCCTCCTTTCCTCCTTCTTTCCTTCCTTCCTTCCCTCCCTCCCTCCCTCCCTCCCTCCCTCCTTCCTTCCTTCCTTCCTTCCTTCCTTCCTTCCTTCCTCCCTCCCTCCCTCCTTTCCTCCTTCCCTCCCTCCCTCCTTCCTTCCTTCCTTCCTTCCTTCCTCCCTCCCTCCCTCCCTCCCTTCTTCCTTCCTTCCTTCCTTCCTTCCTTCCTTCCTTCCTTCCTCCCTCCCTCCCTCCCTCCCTCCCTCCTTTCCTCCTTCCCTCCCTCCCTCCTTCCTTCCTTCCTTCCTTCCTTCCTTCCTTCCTCCCTCCCTCCCTCCCTCCCTCCCTCCCTCCCTTCCCTCCCTCCCTCCCTCCCTCCCTCCCTCCCTCCTTCCTTCCTTCCTTCCTTTCCTCCTTCCTTCCCTCCCTCCCTCCCTCCTTCCTTCCTTCCTTCCTCCCTCCCTCCCTCCCTCCCTCCCTTCCTTCCTTCCTCCCTCCCTCCCTCCCTCCCTCCCTCCTTCCTTCCTTCCTTCCTTCCTTCCTTCCTTCCTTCCTTCCTCCCTCCCTCCCTCCCTCCCTCCTTTCCTCCTTCCTTCCCTCCCTCCCTCCTTCCTTCCTTCCCTCCCTTCCTCCCTCCCTCCCTCCCTCCTTCCTTCCTTCCTTCCTTCCTTCCTTCCTTCCTTCCTTCCCTCCCTCCCTCCCTCCCTCCCTCCTTCCTTCCTTCCTTCATTCCTTCCTTCCTTCCTTCCTTCCTCCCACCTCCCTCCCTCTCTCTGTCTCTCTCTTTCTCTTCTTTCTTTCTTTCTTTCTTTCTTTCTTTCTTTCTTTCTTTCTTTCTGTACATTGATATGTAACAGACACTAACTTTGCTGCACGGATCATGTCCATGAGTAGCATACATCCACTTAAGAAAGATCAGCCTTTCTCATTTGGAGTTCTGGCAGAGGATTGTGTTATCAGTGAACTTATTAGATAAAGCATAAATATAAAAGTGTATCTATGGCAAATGCTTATGAAGAAGAGGTACGTACAACAAGGATGTTTGCCTGTGCTTATTGGACCTAAAGAAGGTTAGGGAGGGTTCCCTGAGAAAGTGGCATTTGGGTTGAGATCTAGAGCGTAGTAAAAATCGGGTAAAGAGAAGGGTCATAGGCATGAGAGGAGGCCCAGAGGCAGAAGGAATGTGGGAGATAGGAGGGAACCTTAAAAGGCCAATACTGAAGCGAGAGCAAAAGCCAGTATAGAATAAGATGAAACGGAAGACCCAGGGCATGTTGGTCTTTCAGAACATGCCAAGTCACAGATTTTCCCTTTAACCTGATAAGTGGGAAGCTCTTGAAGATTTGAAGCAAGGAGTGTTCTGTTCATTTTGCAGATCGCTCTGTCTCCTAGGTGGAGACTGATTAGAAAGACTCAGGAAGTGATCCAATGGGAAGTCTTGTCAGTAATCCAAGTGAGAGCAATAATGAGTTGTACTAAGGAAATGACAGCAATGAACCGAAGTAGACACACTCGGGTCATATTTAATGAGTTAAACAGCCAAAGTTGCTTATAGATTGTCTGTGGAGTGGGTGAAAGATCAGTGAAGTATTGGGTGGAAATCCTTGAAGACCAAGTGAAATTTTAATTAGGTTTGATGGGTGAGGGAAGGTCACGGTATTCATCTGGGCAGAGGAGGTCACCTAATGTTTGATTTTAGCAGAGGTTGCTCTGTCAGCACCAAGAGAAACAAATTAGATGAAAACGGGACTTTAAATTATCCAAGACAGGACTCTAAATTCTCCAGGAATGAGATTTTAAAACTGTCTAGGCTCTAGGAAAAATAAAAGACCCAAGACATTCCAGTGGGCACAGAGAAACTGAGAAGACACAGTATCATCAGAGAACAAGAGCGTGGAAGCTATTTAGTCTGGGGACAGATGAAGGTCTTGAAAGGGTCAAGAGCAATCTCTACCTTCTTTTTGCAAGACGGTGCCTCGCTCCATGACATTGGGTTCAATCAACAGTTGATCTCACCTGTTTCTCGGGCAGCACCACGCTCTGCTGTGGTAGAAGAAACCCTGGGAGCTAGCGTGGTCCCGTTGCCGCCATTGACAGGTGACGTTCTTCAGGTCCAGAGTGAAGCACTGCAGTCCGATTTCCACTGGACTCAAAGGAGAAATTCCCATCAGGGCCCACAGGGTCCAGAGCACTCTCGAAGGCACCAGACCAACTTTGTACCTATCACTTAGAATACTTCCTTCTGTTCTTAGCTCTCCCCTTGACCATCCTCTCACCCCTCCCCCGTTGCTCCTCTTTCTTTTTTGTTTCTTAGGTCACACCTGGAGATGCTCAGGGGTTACTCCTGACTCTGCAACTCAGGAATTACTCCTGGCAGTGCTCAGGGGACCAAATGGGATGCCAGGTATCGAACCCGGGTCAGCCTCATGCAAGGCAAACGCCCTACCCGCTGTCCCATCGCTCTGGCACCTCATCTCTCTTTCTGGTGGCAAGTTGGAGGTCACAGGGAGCAGCCACACCCCCAAGAGCATTTCCACATCCAGCCCACACTTCCCGAGGGGTCTCGACCTTGTCTCCCCTCTCTCCCCCTTCTATTGTTGACTCACCTGCATCCCCGGGCAGGTCTACAGTCACGGGGAGGGACCAGGACCCCCAGGAGCCATGGAGGGAGACCCCATCTGGTTGGCTGCGCAGCTGGAGCCAGTAGGAGTTACCAGGCTGGAGCCCGGAGATGAGGCACCTTCCACCTTTGACTGCCAGAGACAGAACCTCGGGAGAAGAATCCTGCCATCAGAAGCCAGGTCTTCCTCTCTGCCAACATAGCCTCCATCTCCTTCATCTGAAGACCCCCTGCAGACCTGTGGCGAGCCCCTTAGCTCCTCACTGGATGGACCTGAGAACAGACTGGGCATCAGGGAGGCAGGTGTCTCCCAGGAATTGGACATCCATCCAGAAGCCTGAAGCACTCACCTTTGTTGGTGTGAATGACCTCAAGTGGGGGGGTACCCCTGATTGCTAAGTGGAGCCGCCACTCACTCCACCGCCGTCTGGAATCCCTAACATCTGACCCATCTTTTGTTGGAACCACATTGGGGAGAGGGGCTAGAGCAAAAGAGGCCAGGGTACTTCTCTTGTTGGGGAGGTCCACTCTGGTCCTCCGTGCTGGAGCTCCTCAGCCTGAGCGCAGGGAGGTGGGCCCAAGGCTGGGTGTGGCCTCGGCAGGGCTGGGCAGCAGGTCTCTGTGGACAGCAGCTGCAGGACTGTGGAGCCTGTGCTGTTCCCAGCCTCCTTAGGGCCGTAGCGGAGCTCATGCCTCAGGAAATCACTGATTTCGGGAGCCGGGGCCTCCCAGCTGATCTGGAGTTCCCCTGGCTGGCTTCCACTCTGGGTCTTGATGGTACTGGGGGGAGCTGGCTGTCCTAAGGGCAAGATAAAGCATATTAGAATTCCCCGACAACAGCAAGACTGGGCTTGACTCTGGGGGAGAGGCGTGCTGGAGGCAGGGAAGGGGGCAGCCCCCCCCCCCCCCCGGGCTTGAAACATCCCAGGTTTTGGCTCTCCTGAAGGGGAGGGCACCAGGGCAGCTTCTGGCCCTAATTTGTGGTCCTTGTGGGAGTGGTGACCGCAGTACCCGCTCGTTGAACTTGGTGCTTCTCAAGGCACCGCCCGGTCTGATCAGAGCAACAGGTCCGAGGGCAGCAGCTGGAAGGGCCAGGGACACCAGTGTGGCCTTACCCACATGGTCCACAAAGAGCACCCGCTTGGCCTGCGTCCTGTTGAGGACCACGTTCTTCACCCAGAGGTGCAGCGGGAAGAAGAGACGTACTTCATCCTGGGCGGGGAACCGGCAGATGTATCGGGTTCCGGAGGGGAACGCGTGCTGGGACCTCAGGGGGCAAGCTCGGGGCTGTTCCCTGTGGGGGAGAAGCCCGCACACTGCCAGGCCCGCCCAGCAGACCCAGACCTGGGGAGAAAGGGGGTAGGGTTCTGGCAGGGTCAGAGAGTGGGGTGGGGTCCACGGAGAGTCAAAGCACCTGTTGGTTCAATACCCATTCAGGGGGTGCCTTTGGAAGAGTCCTCCGATGGGGCAAGGGCAGGGAGGCGGGCACAGGGAGATGAGCCTGGGGCAGGGGAGGGTGGGGCCCAACTACCACACATACCCGGGGTAGGCATACAGCAGCTGGTACGTCCCGTTGGGCGCTGCCTCTTCCTCATCCCAGAAGCAAGTGAGGTCCTCAAACGTTCGGGAGAAACAGCTCAGGGGCTCTGAGTCTGAGGTCCGCAAAGAGGCATCTGAGGAACCGCCAGTAAGTTGGACTCTGGTTCCTCCCTGGTCTGTTTAAGGGCAATTGTGGGGGGCGGGCACTGGGAACCTCCTTCCTCGCAGCCCTCCCAGGACTCCCTCTTCCTCGGTGCAGGTGATCTCCACCCTCCACACGCCTCACCTTGGCTGGTGACTTGTGCCAGGTGTTGGGGGGCCAGGAGGAGGCAGGAGGTGACCCCCAAGAGGGCCCAGGAGGGCATCTTCCCCAGCTCTGTGCCTGCTTCGCCCATCCTCCCCTCAGGAAGCTGGGCCCCAGTCCCCTCCCGGGCCAGCCCCGCAGGTTCCTGTCAGATACAGCCCCACGTCCTGTCCCTGTCCCTGCCCCCGTGGGGCCCATCCAGACCACACTGGGGCTGGGGGCCAGGGCAGGGAGAGTGGGGCTGGGCAGGAGAGTAGGAGGAGTTGGTTTGTTTTATTTTTGTTTGGGGGGCCACACCAGGAGTGCTCAGGACTTACTCCTGGCTCCGTGCTTAGGGATCACTCCTGTCAGGGTTTGAGGGCCCATATGGGGTGCCTCGAATTGAACCCGGGTCTACTGAGTGCAAAGCAAGCACCTCACCTCCTGCACTATCTCTTCAGCCTCAAGAGTAGGAAGAATTTGAGAGAGGGTACAGGTGTTTGGTAGGAAAGAAGTGAGGTTTTTGTCTTGAACCAGGCTCCAAAGCATACTGAATATCTCTCTCTCTCTCTCTCTCTCTCTCTCTCTCTCTCTCTCTGTCTGTGTTAACTGTGGTGAACAAGAATACCAATGTCTGTTGGCCAGTTCCTCTTCACATCAGTCTTACTGTTTCCATTTCAGAGGTGAGAAAACTGAGATGGAAAGAAGTTTGCAATCACCTGTTCAGGAGGAGGCTTTAGAAGCCAGAGCTTCCCAAGCATGCTTTGCCGTGGAAAGGTGTAACCGGGTGAGCAATAGTGCCTGCCTGACAGGCACGGAGGAAACAGTGACTCCACACACAGATGGGGCTTGTGTCTTTCTGCGTAAATAAGTCCCTTCTCCCAGCCACCACACTCATGACTGTCCTGCATTGCCCCAGCGAGGTCTTAGATACTCAAAGTGCCGTGAGTAGGCCAGGAGCCACCTGGGAGTTTATTAGAAATGCAGAGTCTAGGCCCCTCTCCAGAATGACTGAAACAGAATCTGTACTTGCCCCCAAGCTCCAGAGAGTATGAATACTCATTGAAGTTTGAAAGCTTTGGCCTTCCTTCCTTTCAACCGGATAATCTCAGTCCTTCAGCTCGTGCTCATCTTCATTAGTGGCAGAATGGTAGGTGTTAGCCCTGGTCTGAAACTCAGACGTTCTGGAACAGGACAGCAGGTGTAAGAAACTTTTTCTGCTAACTCTGAGCTTTGACTCTTAGGAGAAGTGGTGGGGGGAGGGGACAGTGCATGTATTAATGCTCATATTTCGTACTCTTCTTCTTCTTCTTCTTCTTCTTCTTCTTCTTCTTCTTCTTCTTCTTCTTCTTCTTCTTCTTCTTCTTCTTCTTCTTCTTCTTCTTCTTCCTCCTCCTCCTCCTCCTCTTCTTCCTCCTTCTCCTCTTCTCCTTCTTCTTCTCCTTCTTCTTCTTCTTCTTCTTCTTCTTCTTCTTCTTCTTCTTCCTCCTTCTCCTCTTCTTCTCCTTCTTCTTCTCCTTCTCCTTCTTCTTCTTCTTCTTCTTCTTCTTCTTCTTCTTCTTCTTCTTCTTCTTCTTCTTCCTCCTCCTCCTCCTCCTCCTCCTCTTCTTCTTCTTCTTCTTCTTCTTCTTCTTCTTCTTCTTCTTCTCCTTCTCCTTCTCCTTCTCCTTCTCCTTCTCCTTCTCCTTCTCCTTCTCCTTCTCCTTCTCCTTCTCCTTCTCCTTCTCCTTCTTCTTCTTCTTCTTCTTCTTCTTCTTCTTCTTCTTCTTCTTCTTCTTCTTCTTCTTCTTCTTCTTCTTCTTCTTCTTCCTCCCCTTCTCCTTCTCCTTCTCCTTCTCCTTCTTATTCTTCTTCCTTTTCTTCTTCTTCCTTTTCTTCTTCTTTTGGCGGGGGGGCACATCCAGCTATTCTCAGGGCTTATTCCTGGCTCTGCACTCAGGAATTACTCCTGGCAGTGCTCAGGGGACCATATGGAATGTCGAGAATCAAACCCAGGTCAACTGCATGCAAGACAAATGCTCTACCTGCTGTTCTATTGCTCTGGTCCCTTAGTACCTCTTCTTGGCTCTCCAGACTAAGTAGCCTCAGTTTTACCTTTTTCTCTTCCTTTTCATGTAATGCCACTAACATAAACATGGCATGCAGGAAGGGGAAATAGAAGGTAAAGAGAAATCCTTCGATCCCCCCGTGACTCAGATCCTCAGTGAGGAGTCTCTGAGCCAAGTTTGTCCTGAGTTCTGTGTGGCTCTTAAGTTATAATGAACAACTTCCTGGGAAGACTGTGAATTTGCCTCCCAGTCTCCAGGCAAAGGCGACCCTACCTCTTTTGGCCAAGTGGGAGAGGAAACCAGAGCTTTTACACTCACACAGTTCCAGGATTTGGAGATGGTTTACAAAACCAACGTCTCCAGCTGGAACTTGCTCCAAGCTCCAGATTTGGAAGTACACAGACTAATGTGGCACTCTACTCGCCTGTATAATGACATCTCATACTATTTTTTAAATTTTATTGAATCACCGTGAGATAGCTACAAGCTTTCATGTTTGGGTTACAATCACACAATGATCAAACACCTACCCCTCCACCAGTGCACATTCCCCACCACCAATATCCCCGGTATACCCCCCCTTTCCCACCTTCCCCCTGCCTCCATGGCAGACATGATTCCCCATACTCTCTCTCTACTTTTGGGCATTATGGTTTGCAATACAGACCCTGAGAGGTTTATCATGTTTGGTCCTTTATCTACTTTCTGCACACATCTCTCATCCCGACCGATTCCTCCAGTCATCTTTTTCTTAGTGATCCCTTCTCTATTCCAGCTGCCTTCTCCCCTTTGCTCCTGGAGGCAGGAGGCTTAGGCAGGAGGCTTAGGCAGGAGGCATAGGCTTCCAGCTATGGAGCGATCTATCTGTCTCGTGTATCTACTATCCTTAGGTGTCAGGCTCATGTTCTGTTGTTTTATACTCCACGAATGAGTGCAGTCATTCTATGTCTGTTCCTCTCTTTCTGGCTCATTTCACTTAGCATGATATTCTCCATGTCTATCCATTTATAAGCAAAGTTCATGACTTTATCTCTCCTGACAGTGGCATAGTATTCCATCGTGTAGATGCACCAAAGTTTCTTTAACCAGTCATCTGTTCTAGGGCGCTTGGATTGTTTTCAGATTTGGGCTATTGTGAACAGTGCTGCAATGAACATATAGGTACAGAATGACATCTCATACTTAAAGATAACCACAGCAAAACTCTTGATTCTGGTTCCTGTCCCTAACCCTATGATTTCCACACTAATTTGGCAATGCTCAGGGGTGATTCCTAATTCTCCCTCTGTAAAAGGCACCGCCATCTACTCAGTTGACCACACCCCAACCTTCAATACTCCCAGATCCTATTTTTCTACCCTCGATTCAATTCAAGAACAAGTCTTATTTTCCAAACATAATGTGAACTTGAACACCCAGTGACCAGCTCCACTCCTCCCATGCATGTCTGGGCTTCCCAACAGCCTTTAGCCTGCTCTTCTCAGGCCGTCCTCTAAGTAGAGAGAAGTGTGGAAATGGAACTCCCATTTCTTCACTCCCAGGAATGACATTCTACTGCACTTAGAATGAGATTCATGTCTCAAGTGCTACCTGATATGCCCCTCTCTATTTCAGCCTCATCTTCTTCAATCTCAGCTAGCCACAAGAACCTCATCATGTCTCTTATCTTTGTCCTCTATACTTAATCTTTCTACAACATTTAATATTCTCCTTCCTTGGGTTTCACAACATGTCATGGTCTCCTGGTTTCTTTCTACCGCCAAAACATTCCCTCCTAGTTTCTTTCCTGCTGCTCTTAAATGTTGCCATTCTCTAATATTCTCCAACATAAAGGAGAGAAGGAGATACCTTGCTTCCTCCTTTATGGTGATTCTGTTATTTACTTCCGCCTATCTATTGAGACCTTGCTGTTCTTTTGAGTTACATTTTCTTATTTTTATTTTTTGTTTGATTTTGGGGTACACCCAGCTGTGCTAAAGACCGACTCCTAGTTCTGCACTCAAGAATCACTCTTGGCTCAGAAATCACTCTTGGCAGATCTTAGGGAAACATATATGGCGCTGGGGATCAAATTCAGGTCAGCTGCATGCAAAGTAAGCGCCCTACCCACTGTACTGTCGCTTTGGCTCTTTAAATTACATTTTCTTTTTTGTTGTTGTTTTTGGACCACACTCAGGTACTCAGAAGGTACTCCTGGTTTGCACTCAGGAATTACTCCTGGAAGTGCTTGGGGGATCATATGGGATGCTGGAGATTGAACCTGGGTCAGATATGTGCAAGTCAAATGCCCTACTCACTGTATATCACTCTGGTCCCTTGAATCTCTCTGTCTCTGTCTCTCTGTCTCTCTCTCTTTCTCTCTTCCTTTCTCTCTTTCTATAATTGAATCACCATGAGATGAATCACATTTTCAACTACTTGAGGGAGCTCTCTTTTTTTTTTTTTTTTTTTTGTTCAAGCCCGCAGGTCCGAACAGAACCATTACTAACTCTCATACCCTCTTTTGGATCTTTTCATCTTCTGTTCTGCCTCTCAGCATAGCTAGTAGACTTATTCTTTTTGAAAAATTTTATTTATTTACTTTTTCTCTCTTTTTTTTCACACCTGGCAATGCTCAGTGGTTATTCCTAATTCTGCACTCAGGAATTACTCCTGGCGGTGCTTGGGGGACCATATGGAATGCTGGGGATTCAACCCAGGTCAGCAGTGTGCAAGGCAAATGCCCTACCCTCTGTACTATTACTCCAGCCCCACTAGTTGACTTCTAAGTAGAAGACTTATCCTCAGGGCCCAGAGCAATAGTACAGCAGGTAGGGTGTTTGCCTTGCATGCAGCCAACCTGGGTTTGATTCCCAGCATCCCATATGGCACTGGGATATCCCCTTAGCACTGACAGGAGTAATTTCTGAGTGCAGAGCCAAGAGTTAACCCTGAGCACTGCTATGCACTGCTGGGTGTGCCATCCCCCTCACCGCCTCCCCCACCCCAAAAGATACAGAGTCCACAAGCCAGACTCATTAAGAGTATAAGAGAG